GAACTGTGTAGTAGACCTACAGTTCAGCTTTAAGTTCTTTTTCAACCTTCCCCGTCTCAGTTACTTGTGTTTGGTTTCTAGGTTCCCAGGAAACATGCCACATCAGAGTCCGGCCAACGTGGCTTTCCTGTCACTCTCCAAAGCCTGGGCTGTCAGGAGCAAGAATGGTGACTGATGCCTAGGGGCTGTCACTCCTCCGCAGACACCTAGGCTGGTGTCTGAGACAAAAGTGCTTATGCTGCTGAAATTAGTTAGTTATTGTCCGTTTCACCTTTCCTCCTCCTGCCATCCCCTCCTCTGCCTGCAAGGTTATGTGTCTCAAGAGAATGTAATCTGCTTTTGCAAAAGACTGCCAGTGGCCTTTTCCCATTTTCGGTATCTAGCTCTCACGCACACCTGTGAAATCTTCTCAGAAACCCTGCAACATTATACCCTGAGCATACAGGTGGTGCTTTATTGACTGGCATGTGAGAAAACAGGAGCACATCTGTGTTTAATGGCCATTAGCAGAACAGACCGTGGTCTCTGACCTCAGTGGAGGGAATGTAGTTCAAACAGACTCACTGTGGACCAGCAGCCTATGCCCAGAGGAGCAGAGAGACCCCATCCTTTATGTCAGTTTTAGTCAATCACCCGAGGGCTATGTGAAGACGGATTCTGGGGCTGCACATGGCATAGCACAGAAAGTGCTGAGGTCAACTGATGGCGCCTGCCATGTTCACGGGAGCAAGGTGTGGCCATCCTTGCAATCTCCCTTTAGCAACTCTTCCTGGAGTTACTTAATGCTGTTGGCACATATGAGAAGATCCACCAAACTAAAGTAATTGTAAGCAAGTTAGATTCTACATGCATTACAGAAACAGCCCCTCAGGTTGCAGGATTGGCAGATAGGGAAATCTGTGGCCATCATCTAGACACCTTGACCTCAGGCCCAGGATCCTGTTTGTCAGAGTGCTTGCCCACCGGTTTTTCAAGGCACAGCAACATGCAGAGAAAGATGGCCACGAGTTCATGGTGTGTGATTTACTGATCAGAGTACCTCCAGGGCCCTAGCTCTTCCAGAATGGCATTACGCAGAGTTTCCCAATGCCCCACAGATCTTGAGCAAGTATAGTAGTGCATTAGTTCATCGTGGACCTATAGCGTTGGCCATAACAGCCCCACCACAAAACTGCGTAATGAAGAATGTTTTCGTTTTAACTCAGATGCTGAGAAGTTTGCCTCGTGGCAAGGAGCCTGAAGTCACATTGAGACAACTCATATAGCATCTTTTACTCTTCCATCAGGGAATGGTTAGTCAGGCCACCCCAAGGGGGAGGAAGAAGACCACAAGCTCTTATACAAATATTTTCATTGTGATTAGCTTTTAATGGCCTGAGCTTGCATTTACTGATTTATTTCAGAGTCTTCATGTTTGTCAATGAAAGGAAAAGAATAAGCAAGATCTGTGCAGAAACATTCCTTATTCAAAATTCCAAATGCATGAAGTGGTAACGGAGCTGTCCCTTCTATAAAAGAGAATTGTTTTCTCCAAGATGATTTGAGTTTTGTGTGTTTGTTTTTTGGAGTTTTTTTTAATTTAAACATTTAACAAATATTTATTGAGCTCCTGCAGTGTGCCAGGCACTGTCTTGGACACTAGGGATATAATAATGAAACAAAAATAATAATAATCCCTGTCTTTAAGGACCTCACTATTTACATCCTTCCACTCTTTTATAGAATTATATGTAAGCTGTTACTCATTTATTTTAGTAGATTTTGAAAGACTGTTTTTTTCTTAGTTTGGTTAGATATAGGGTCCTATTTTCATATTTTCAGCAAGGTCCTGAAAATAGGGTTTGTTTTGTTTTGTTAGAGTTGGAAGAGTAGTTTATGAGAGTTCTCATTGATTTTTTTTTTAATCCTCACCCAAGGATATGTTCTTATTTATTTTAGAGAGAGGAAGGGAGTGAGAGAGAGAGAAAAAGAAACATCTATGTAAAGAGAAATATCAATTGGTTGTCTCCTGCATGGGCCCTGACCAGGGATCAAACCTGCAATCTTTTGCTGTATAGGATGACACGCCAACCAATTGAGTCATACTGGCCAGGGCAATTTTAGATTATTTTCTCTATCACAGAGACAAGCTTCTAGAGAAAAATCAGAGCATTTCATGTCAGTTTTTTTAATTGCCTTATTTTACCTAGCAAGCCTATTTTCCTAAGAAAGGCATTCTAGATCACATGCTGACCATATACCTGTAAGGGAAACAGCTGTTATACCATTTCAAAGATATAAACCTTTCCCCTCCATAAATCAGGATGTCTCAGCCTTAACACACTAACATTTAGAGCTAGGTAATCCTTTGTTGTTGGAAGCTATTCTGTTCATTGTGGGATGTTTAGCAGCATCCTTGCCTCTTCCCACTAGGTGCCAGTAGTACCTCTTATTCCCAAGATGTGACAACCAAAAATGCCTCCAGGCATTTGGTCTTGATGCAGAGAGAAAAAATATGTCCCTCAGTCAGTCCTGGCTGAGAACCACTGGTGAAATGGATGTTATTCTGTGATTCAGGTCTCACATCCTCGAGGTACAGTACATCAGTGAAATCGACAAAAAAACACCGGGACAAGAAGTGTCTTCTGTCTGTCCTTTGTAGAAGCTTATAGTAATTTTCCACCATGAAAGAGTTAATCTAAAGTGAGCAAGACATTTTTCAGTCTTATGAAGCAACACCAACAACAAATGATGAAATTTCTTCAGTAAATCATGCCTTGGAGATATTTTGCATTTCCTTCTGGAAACTTGTTAAAATCATATTCATTTACCGTAAGTTAGAGAACATGTTGGACACAGTATACTCTAAGTTAATCTCAAATGATTTACAAGTAAATGTGTTCCAGATTTGGTGATCTCAGCTCAAGCAGTAGGCGGCTCATTTCCAAATATTTCCATTCTCAGGAACCGACATTCAATTCAATAAGTATTTATTGAAACATGTAATGCGAGAGGACTTTGGAACAATCTGAGATTGCTTCCATGGCCCCGTCCAGCAGAAAAGCAGCGTGCAGAACAGTGCCCCCGAGAGCCTCCATGTCGGACGTGGCACTCTCCACTTTGGTTTGCAAGATACTGTGGGAAAGCTGGCTTTTTCATTCTCCGTCACCGCACCAAGCCCATTCCCATCCTGTACCAGCTGTGCCCTCCCCAGTGAATATATGTAATTATGCATGATGTCATGTGTTTTTTATTTGGTTCTTTGGTCCCAAATGGGCCACTTTTCAGAGTTTTGCCAGGGGCATCATCCATTGCACACTCTACCTCCCCACTGTCAACCTGACAGGGTATTTTAGTCCATAGCGGGGTCATTTAATCAACTTGCCTTATATTTCTGAATCATCTTCACTTCTTACACACACCAATGGAGTAACAAATGCAGGGCAAACTTCTGATAAAAGTCACTGGACGAACGCTTGGTCTTGATGCAGAGAGAAAGAAAGGGTGAAAGAGAAACAAAGTGGGCTAGAGAATCTTCACTCATTGAATTGCTCTTCACTGATCACCTATTATGTGCCAGGCACTGGCAATATAGCTATGACGAAAATGGGCAGAGCCCTGCTTTTCTGGAACTCACAGTTGATCGGGCAGTGAAATAAGTGAACAGGCCACGTTTTAATATGGCACAACAGGTGCCAATATGAGGCAAATCAAGATGCCATGAGAATGCTTTAAGAAGGCACCACCCCAGCCCAGGAGGGGGAGAATCAGAGAAGGCTTTGCAGAGGAAGCAGTGTCTTAACTTGGACTTGAAGGATCTGTTGCCTATCAAAGAGGAGAGGGAAAGGGCATTCGAGGCCATGTTCCAAGGCCTAAAGGAGAGTAGAAAAAATGGAACCTTTGAGGACATGAGAAGCTCAGAATGTTTGGATAGTAGAGTGTGAGACAGGAAGAGGGAGAAGTAAACAAGAAAAAGCAAATAAGGACGCTTCTCAGGATTCTGACAAGCAATGGGTCGTTGCTGGTGCCATTTACTGAGATTAGGAGCTCAGGAGAAGTAGGTTTGGAGGAGGGTGGGGTGGCAAAGAGCACCACTACCCCTAGAACATGGGAATGGCTTTTTAAATGTTTTTGAAAGATGCCAAAAATTAATGGAAATATAAGATGCTAAGTTGCAGCTTTTAGTTTTGTTCCTGATACAATTCAACCTCTTAGTTTCTGCCAATTTAGCTTTTTATCCAGCAACTATGACTTCATTTTCATACTTATCATTATCATATTGCTTAAATTTTACCAAATGAGTCCGGAACAGTGGGTACCCTGAGTGAAGAAGTACAGTGAGGCATTAAGGGTCTGTATTCAGGCTTTTCCAACACACCTCTACCCTCTTTTAGAATATGTTTTTATTTATTTATTTATTTATGAGAGAAAGGAAAGGGAGAGAAAAAAAACATGATGTGAGAGAGAAACATCTTTTGGCCACCTCCCATATGCACCCTGACTGGGGACCGAACCCCCAACCTGGGCATGTGCCCAGACCACCACCTTTCGAGGCATGGGACAGTGCTCAACCAATTGAGCCACACTGGCCAGGGCTCTATCCTCTTCTTTAAATGTCCTTTTCCATGATGGAGTTTTTTATTCTAATACTGTGTAGACTCATTTTCTAAAGCATATGTTACTTTTGGAGACGACTAAAAATAGCATAATAATAAGTATTATTGGGCTGCTTCCAGGCAAGTGTGTGATATCGCAGAATTTTAAGGTGTGCAGACCTCATTTGAGGAAAATTGCTGTGTGGTGAACATCAACTCTGTGTTGATCCCATCGCTCAGAGCATATGGGGAACAAATGTGATTGTCAAGTTAAGGGCACTGAGATAGCTTCTAACCATCAACCCCAGCCACTGCTTTGTCTCATGCCCGCACAGGTTTGAGATATCCAAGGGCCTCTTTCATAGTCAAGCAACCGGTAACGAAGGAGCATCCAAGTTCACGTGCCTCCTTTCTGTTTTTTGGCAGGAACTTAGATAATGGGCTGTGTGCAATGTAAGGATAAAGAAGCAACAAAACTGACAGAGGAGAGGGATGGCAGCCTGAACCAGAGCTCCGGGTACCGCTATGGCACAGACCCCACTCCTCAGCACTACCCCAGCTTCGGTGTGACCTCCATCCCAAACTACAACAACTTCCACGCAGCCGGAGGCCAAGGACTCACCGTCTTTGGGGGTGTGAACTCTTCATCTCACACTGGGACCTTGCGTACGAGAGGAGGGACAGGTAAGCCCCAACAGTGACAGAGGGCTGGAGGGAGGGGGCAGCTGCTCTTCATTCTTTTGGCAATTGAAGGTTGGTGCTCCAGCTCCTTTTGACTAAGGACTTCATGTTTAAGTTTTTATTAATTTCCACTTATCTTCTACCAGATAAGGGGCTGTGAAAAAAAAAAAAGAGTTTCACATACATATCAGAATACTGGAGACAGCGGTGCGGGGACCCCGCAAGCTGCTCTGTGAGGGCCTGCTTGGGTGTGAGGCACAGCTCTCCCAAGGCCCTGAAGGCAGTGGCTCTCCACCTTGGCTGGCTGGCTTGGACAACTAGGCAGCTTTCCCAAAATACAGATGCCTGAGCCTCCCTCAGAGCTTTAGAATCAGAAGCTCCAGGACTGGATCTGAGAACATTTATTTTGAGTTTTGCAGATATTAATGCACTCCTGTTTCCCGGATAAAAGCCAGGGTTCAGCGTCTTCTCCCTCACCTTCCTAATTTTCAGCCTGCCTGTCACTGCCCAGCCAGTGGGTCATTTGGCAGCATTTTTTTTTTTTTTTTGGCCATTCATCATCTTCGATTCTCTCTCTGACCTCCCTATTATGTTCATTATGACTGAGTTTATCAGCCCTTAAGTATTTCCATGTATCTTTTGTATTTTAAAACTGAATCGTATGTATCCTTAAGGGATAGTTTTCTTTTTTTAAGTTTCCTCCTCTTTCCCACCAAGGGCTATGTTTCACAGCCATGTGCATTTGCTGACTTAGCTAATAGTTTGTAAAATATCTGGCATACATTCTCAGGCATATGTTTTCCAAAACATTTGCAAGTTATCTCATGCATCCTTAGTCTTCCAAATCTTCTCCCAGTGTGTGAATCATGGTAACTAGATAGGGGACCTTATTTGTTCCAAAATTGTTTTGTTCATTACAAAAGTTTAAGGAAATATACATCAACCATTGTGCTCTCAACTCATCTGGGAGCCAATGTCTTATATAAGGACCCATTGTGTCTTGTTACTGGGGGAGTTGGCGTTACTGAGACATTAGCAGGGGTTTTCTTCCCACTGCATTCACAAGGGCAGTGCATGTATATCCATGCGCCTGACCCGGAGCTTTGGGCATTGTGTCCTTGTGTTATGGCGGACCTAGCTTTCCCTTTAAAGCAGGCATTGCATGGGTGAATGAATGCTAGGGACACTTACTTGTCCTTCCTGCCTTCCTGAATGGCGCCTGGAATGGAGGGAGGAAGGAAAGAGGCTGTCGGGCTGTCTCGGAAAGTCTCTTGAGGATGCAGGAGAGAGAAAAAAGAGTCAGCACTGCACCCAGCCATCCACCCTGTGCCTGCTGAGTGCTCTGCCAACAAGACTCTGAATTCTGCTGATACAGGCATTGACTTTGTTCATTCATTCATCAGTGCTGGATATGAATCCCTATGTCTGCAGGTGTCATTCATAAAATCACTAGAGGGGTCATAAAGCTACTTGTCTTGAACGTGTGGGTCTATACCAGCCGTGGGCAAACTACGGCCCGCGGGCCAGATCCGGCCCGTTTGGCTGTTCTATCCCGCCCGCGGAGCCGAAAGAGCAAGGGATCTCTTGCTCTCCCCTCCACTCCTTCACCAGCAGCAGTGTTTACATGGCAACGTCGGGAAACACGGCTGCAGCTCCTTCTTCTGAGTCCAGTTTAAGAACCCATTGTGACCCTCGAGTCAAAAAGTTTGCCCACCCTGGTCTATTCTGTACTCAGAGACAACCTTAGTATAAAGGCCATCTGGTCCTTATAAATCTGAAAGTTAAAAACATTATCCCCAAATACTGGCAGATTTTTGTGCCTTGCATTATTTGGCTTTATTATATATGCATGTCTTTCTTCTCACCACTGCTTTCAGAGCATTAAGGCCAGGGACAGTGTCTGTGTGTCCCTGTGACCTCCTTTGACTCTCCCTTCCATTTCTAGAGGATAAATACCCAGTGAGCCCAGCTGGCATGGCTCAATGCTTAAGCATCAACCTATGAACCAGGAGGTCATGGTTTGATTCCCAGTCCATACACATGCCCAGGTTGTGGGCTGGATCCTCAATGAGGGTCGTGCAGGAGGCAGCCAATCAATGATTCTCTCTCATCATTGATGTTTCTGTCTCTCCTTCTCCCTTCCTTTCTGAAATCAATAAAAACATTTTTTTAAAACACCCTATGAGAACTTGCTGGCTGGTGGAGAGAGAGAGTGGAGTGTTCATCCTCGTGTGCTTGTCTTCCACACAATGCAGCTTTGGTTTGTTTTTAAATTATGTAATGAAAGGCATCTGTTGGCCGAGTGTTCAATGAGAATAAATAATAAGCATGACTTTACAGGCTCCTGCTAGTTTGTTTTTAGCCAGTTCTTTTCTAACCTTTAAAAGAAATCTAAAGAAAGGAGGACAGTTGCCAAATGAGCCATGCTTTGCAGGGTCAGACCCTCTGAATGCCAGCTCTCCCATAGGAGATGGGGTCTCACTAGGGATGGGGTAGAAAGACGAGCTCTGCCTCCCTCTCTGGTTCTTGAGTAGTCCCCTGGGCACATCTGTTCCCTTGGAACCACCCACTCAGCAAAACGGCAGCTTGGTGAAGAGTAGAATCCACACCAAGTACTTTAAAGTGTATAGATCAAAAGAGAAGCCAGAGAGCAGAGAAATGGGGTATATTAGTTATCAATTGCTGCATAATAAATTACCGCAAAAGTTAGCAACTTTAAAATGATGCACATTCATCATGTCAGTCTCTGTGGGTCAGGAACCTAGGAATAACGTAGCTGGGTCCTACGTTTCAGAGTCTCTCACAGGCTACAATCTAGGTGTGCTGGGTGGACTACAGTCACCTCGCCGTCCAACGGAGAAGGATCTGCTGCCAAGCTCATGGCGTTGGCAGGATTAAGTTCTTCGTTGGTTGTTGGCCATAGGCCACCCACAGTCTTTGTCGTGTGGGCCTCTCCAACATGGCAGTTTGCTTCATGAAAGTGTTGGAGCCAAAGTGACGATAGAATGAGACTGCTAGGAAAACAGAAGTCACAATCATATGAAGCCTAATCACTGAAGAGACATCCGTCATCTTTGCCATGTTCTATTGGTTAGAAGCAAGTCGCCAGGCTCGCCCACACTCAGGGGAGGGGGATTGCACAAGGGCATGAATACCAGGAGGTGGGAATCACTGAGGCTGTCTCAGAATCCCGCCCACTACGTGAGGAAGTCCCAGGCCAAATGGGACACAGGACAGTCTGTGCTGTTAATAGCAAACTCCCGCAAAGCAGGAAAGACCTGTGTGGGAACTCAATCAGAAGAGAAGAATAGGGTGGGTATGAGGAAGCGCACGAACTACAAGTCAGTGTGAGGAGAGGTAACATCAAGGTGAGACCGGAGTTCCAAAAGCAATTGCAGATGCAAAGGGCAAGGTATCCTCTAATGAGGGAACATTTACAGAGGCTTCTCAGCCCCAGCTACAGGGGTGTCCTACTACATCCTGCCCTACTGTTATGCCAGGGAAAGAGTGATGCATCTACCAGAACCTAAGGTAGGCCTCCGAGTGTCAGATAAAAGGTATCTGATTGCTGCAGAGCTCTGCAAATCCAAGCGCTACACTGCTGCCGCCCCTTCACTATGGACATGATATTCACATCTGTCTCTTCCCGAGGATTCATTCCGAAGTGCATAGAGGAAAGTCCTTCAACTCCAGAGGAATCAAACAATGCTTCCCCACACGGACTGAGGCATAAGTCCAGCCTGGGACTCGGTTCACACGTTAATTATAAGGCCGCAGCGTGTTGTCCGTGCTGATCAGCTTTAGATTTTAAGATTGAGGTTTTAGCAAAGATTTAATTTCTTGGAATTAATTTCCTCTTGTGATATCTCTCCCCTTTTGGTTCATTTTTCCAGGCGTGACCCTGTTTGTGGCCCTTTACGATTATGAAGCAAGGACGGAAGATGACCTGAGTTTTCACAAAGGAGAGAAATTTCAGATATTGAACAGCTCGTAAGTTTGGAGAGGAAGGGGAAGCGTGTGCCTTTCAGATTGGGAAAAAATCCTTGCTGCCAGTCTGCGCCTTTTCAGACATATGAAATGCTGGAAGAGCCCTGTTCAGTTAATTCATTCACACCAGTTTAACTTGAGAAACGAAGAGTCCGTGAACCAGTGCCGTATTTTATGGCACTGTCTGTGTGGGGAGCTTTCAGGAGGCTAACCATAGTAGCCAAGTTGATGGTTTTGGTTTAAAGGTTATAAATGCCCCCACATCACTCTCTGCAAATCTGCGTTTTCAGATGATTGGCACAGGCCTGGCTATCCCCTGCCTGGGGATTTTCTTCACATTTCAGATGTTGCACTAGCTAAACCAGGGGTGGGCAAACTTTTTGACTCGAGGGCCACAATGGGTTCTTAAACTGGACCGGAGGGCCGGGACAAAAGCATGGATGGAGTGTTTGTGTGAACTAATATAAATTCAAAGTAAACATCATTACATAAAAGGGTACGGTCTTTTTTTTTTTTAGTTTTATTCATTTCAAATGGGCCGGATACGGCCCGCGGGCCATAGTTTGCCCACGGCTGAGCTAAACCCTCGCTTAAGGCTGGCAGCAAGTTCCTTCTGTTTTCAAAACTGCTAAACATCCCATTTGGGTGAAGCCTGTGGAGGCATTGCCCCATAACGAAAATTTGTGAATGACTGAAATCTTTGTGAGATGGGAGAAGTGATCTCACCCACTCTTGAGTGACTTCAATGTGTACAGTTTAAATGTGGCCATAGGAACAACAGTCAGCAGGCCATGGGGGAAGTTCAGGGGTGAGAAGCACTCACTCTTCAAATACTACAATGAATACCTCCATTAGAAAGAGTAAATAGGGGTCAGTTCTCCCTGTAGTTTTTGAATATTGCTTCTGTCCGGCAAAGGCAGTGTGCATGCATGAGTGCCCTCCAGAAAAATCTGGGCACTGGAGAAGGTGGTGGTGTCCAACATTGACATGACAAGCCTTCTCTCCTGCACCTCAGCTTTTCCTGTGAGTGTTCCCAGTGGTGGGGAAGGAGTGGGGGCCTCCTGGAAGCTTTCCTGTGCCCCAAGTCTGGTTGCCCTGTCCTCTGCTCCCTGAGCGAACTGGATTTCATGATGGTGGAAGGACCTGAGGCCGGCTCTTCTGCTTCCCAAAGAACATGGGTGCAGCACACTCGGAGATCTTTGTGGGGTGTGGCGGGACCGAGGTGCAGTCTCCTGTCCCAGCCACTCTCTCCACATCTCGTGGAGGGGAAAGGCCCCAGGAATTTTCTTTGAAATAGTAAACAGCTGCTATTTATCAAAGGCTCCTTATGTGCCAGCCATGTGCTAAGTTGCAAATGTTCACATTTATTCTCCACAACTGCCTGAGGTGTGTCTCATAGTCATCACTGTATACATGAGGAGCCAGAGGCTCAAGTTTGGAAGCTGCCCAGGTGCACAGAGGAGCTAGCAGGTGCCAGAGCCAAGAGTGACATTCGGGGATGCATCCTAAGTACAGTGTCAGGTTTGGTCTTGGAAAGGCCCAGAGGCTCCCATCAGAGGGGACTGAACCATTCAGGTTATATGAGAGTGAAAGGGTGGCTGGCGGTGAGGGAGGAGAAAATTTGGCTTTGATCTCTTCTGATAATCCAATACCTTATTGTTAGTTTGATTCTCAGATGAATGTTTCTTGTCAGAGTCTACTGACTTTGAAATACACTCCACTTTCCCTCCCCATTTCATGTAATATTCCCTCTAAGCCAAGGTTAGTTAGAACTTTTAACCAGATCCTGAAAGAACTAAGGACTGGCAGGAAGTGCCGTTCCCAGTTCTTCTGCAGGTTCTCTCCACACTGCAAGTGGACTTGGCACCAGGTTGTAGGGGCCTTGCAAGCCAGTCCTGACAAAGTCAAAGCCAGGACTTCTTCCTTTGTTAATGTGGATAGAATCTGAAATGGTATCCAATTGGAATTTTGGAGAAACACTCAAAACAAGATCTGATCTATTTCAATCTATATTTTGTGATTTGCCTTTAATGTTTATGGAAGGCTTTGAGCCTCTGACCCTGTTCTCTTAGAAGAAAATATTACAAGGTTTTTTCCCTTCAATGTTTTTCCTTCTTGCCAGTGGAATTCCTCATCCTATGTGCCATGTAAAGGTTCTGGGGGAAATAAGGTTTTTGTAACAAATGCAATAACCTGAAGTCAAGGGTAATAATAGGGAAGACAAAATCATGAAGGAAAAACAAAGCAGCAATACAGAACCAGATGGCATGTGTCTCCCCTCCCCCAGCCTCTCCCTGGCAGAGGGAGGGAAGGGCTCTGTCTCCCTGGGGCAGCTGCCACACCTCCCATTGTGCGTCTTCCCACTCCTTTCCCTGACTGGAGGCAGAAATGGGAGGCCACAGGGCTGGCTTTTGTGTTTTAAAGTGCAGTGTGAACTATGTGATCTGTGTGTGTGCATATGTGCCCACAGTTAATGGCACTGCTGCCCAGCCCGGGGATGGGTGGTCCTTCATTGACCTGTATTAAGTATTCAGTGTGGTATATTTGGACAGTATTAAACTTGAACCCATTTTTGCAAAACATCTTTGTTTAATTCATCTGTTTCATTCTCTATTTTCTCATTTCATGATGAGTGACTTACCACCTAGAAACAGCTATTCTTCAAAATATAATAAACAGAGTCGAACAGGGGTCATTGCCTAGAGTAGTGACTCTTTTCAAATTCTTTTCATCAGAATAAGAAGAAATCCTGGTTTAGAGCCCCACCTAAACGTTTGATAAAATTGTTATGGATCATGCTCTCTGAAAGTCAGATGGGCAGTGTCAATTTAGAAAGAATCCAGCATTTGAAATAAAACTGTCCCACAGCTGGTCAGATCAAGACTGACCTTCCTTTGCAAATACCAATTCCTGGCTCCATCAGGGCATCCAGCTCCTGGGACCACAAGCCCTATGAGCAGTTTTGGGGATTGGGCTACACTCTTAATAAATCTTTAAATTAGAAGCTGTTGTGAAAACTTAAAAGCTATTCAGAGCCAGGGCTGAAATCATGTATTTGGATATGTTAAAGAATAACAGTTGCCCTAGCTGGTTTGGGTCAGTGGATAGAGTGTTGGCCTGCAGACTGAAGGGTCCCGGGTTCAACTCCAGTCAAGGGCACATGCCCGGGTTGTTGTCTCGATCCCCAGTAGGGGGCGTGCAGGAGGCAGCCAATCAATGATTCTCTCTCATCATTGATGTTTCTATCTCTCTCTTCCTCTCCCCTCCTCTCTGAAATCAATTTTTTAAAAAAGAATAACAGTTAAAGAAAAGCTCATCAACTCTTAAATTAATGAAATATCTGAACTGTAAGAATAGTTTAAAGACATGCACCTTTAATAAGCTACTCACAATAACTCAAGTAAAGACATAAAAGGGCCCTGACTGGTATAGCTCAGTTGGTTGAGCATCATCCCATACACTGAAAGGTCGCTGGTTCAGTTCCCGGTCAGGGCACTTACCCAGTTTGCATGTTGGCACATACGGGAGGCAATCAATCATAGTTTCTCTCTCACATCAATGTTTCTCTCTCTCTCCCTTCCTCTCTCTCTAAAATCAATAAAAACATATTTTTAAAAAAGAAATAAAAGGTAGCACAGTAGTAGAGACCCTATTTTCCTAAATCAAGGTGAATGAATTATAAAGAGTATATAATTAATTTATAGGTGAATTGGGCTATTTAAAAAGATGACTTACTTATTTGCTCAAAAGACTTTCTTGATAGATGTTTTGAGTCTGTGCCAGCCTCTCTGGGCACAACATATTAAGTATACTACCTAATACATTGTGTCCTTATCACCTCATATCTCCTTTGATAAAGACAGTGATCCTAGAAGGCCTAGAAAAAGAGGAAAGGATTTTATCTTTCTCCTGAGTAACTGAAAACTCTTATGAGACTAATGGAATCCTCACTTAAGAGAAATTCATGAATTCCTGTACATGACTTTAGAATGAGCTGATAGTGGGATTCTAATTTGTGCTGAACTCTTTAGGTACCCAGAACAGAATGAGAGAGTTAATGCTGGATTTAAAATGGAAATTACTTGATTAATAGAAGATCACCTGAATAAGACTGAGCTTGCCCCAACCTGCAGCAAAATGTATTGGCTTCCTGCCCCAGCTGGCATTACCAAGTATCCCAAAATTGATGCTATACTTCATTTTTGTTAATTTAAATCAATTAGAACTAACTTGATGAAGGTTTTCTTGCATTAAAAAATAAGTCTGTGCTGCAGCAGTTAATTTTTTTCTCACCATTTTGGAGCATTTCCCAGGTCAGTGTGGGGTGTGGGGAGGAGGAGGGAGAAGGAAGGGAGATGATAAGTATTGTTTTTTATGATGAAATGTCTCCATCTAGCGGAATTTTGGAGCACTAAGCATTGTCACCTTGTTAAAGATAGTGTCTCCAAACATAGTATCTTCCTTAAATACATGCAGTGTTTAAAGAAAAAAATAAACTCCCACGTGTTCTTAGATGATTTCTTTACAACTCCATGTATTTATTTTGGAGGATGAAGAAAAGAGACCAGTACAAACTGTAAATGTGTTGACATCTTTTAAATCATGTTTGAACCTGAAAGGCAGGGGGATGAGGTAGAGAAGCAGCACAAGGTAGATTGCACACAATTGATGATGATCTAGCTCTTCAGTTGGGTAATGGACTCATAGGTGTTCATATATAAACCTATTCTTTGTATGTATAAATTATTTTATAATAAAAATCTGGACATGAACTAAATTTAAGATTATTAAAGGACTTCCTAGGTATGAGAACAATTATTTCCCTCTTTTGACTGATTTTTTTTCTGTTTAAATTTCTTTAACACGGTGAGAAAGGAAAAAGACTGAAAAACTAATTCTAACGTAAGTTTTTAAAAACCTTTGCCAGCGCCCTGTTTTCCTGTGGGCTGTTCTGTGTTACTTGTGCCACCAAACACTTCCTACAACTGCACACATGTAGGCTTGTCACCATTTGTCTGCCGCCTTACTCAATCGCATATGGAGCTGTTGCTCATGGGTCACTTTACTCAGATTCCATCTTTAAAGAATGGGTCTCTTGAGTAAGGCTCATGTGTAATGTGCAGGTTATTCTCTCTCCTTAAATCAGGCTGGGGACGGTCCTGACCAGGGCCAAAAGCCAACTCACTTTCTTCCCTGGCCGAGGGCTTTGGCACAGAGTCCAGCCAACAAGTGATCTTAAGAGAGGCCTAGGGTTTCTCTTGCTCCCTCCAAGGGCCAAACAAGGAAGGAGAGAAGGCACGGGGCCTCTGGGGACAGGCTGGGCACTTCAGCTCCCGACTCAAGGGCAGCAATGCTTCCCCGCCCCGCACACTCCTGACTCCAGGCTGGTGGAGGGAACTGGGCAGTCCGTGCCAGAGCTACAGCCCCTCGCAGATCTGCTAACCACTGTTGACAGGGAGGAGCACACACTCCATCCCCGCTCTCTGCCGCACACAGCTTGTGAGTCGAGCCCATGAACTCTACCCCTTCAGTTTTCTCACCTGTTGTAAGCTGCGAGTGGCGTTACAAGCCCCCTTTCATGTCCTTCAGCCCACAGCTCTGAGAGCTCCACAGACTGAGACCAGGCTATTGCATCTGTACAAACTGGTGTGACATGAATCTCACAAGTGTTGGTTACCCCCGTCCCCGCATTTGTGCACACACAGCTATGCCCACCCCCCTTTTCCCCACCAGACTCCAGTCATTGCTGTAAGTAGACAATAAAGTGACCTCAGCTTGAACCTGTCTGAGCAAGGCATACCCTATTGTATCTTTATTATTCTACCCATTTTCCTCAGCAGGCCAGACAAGTATTCATAATATGCTTCCATCCCTTACTGAGCCTGCTAGCAGGCTTCTTCTCTCAGATGATCTGCAGCTTTAATGCATTTCTTTTTCTTTTTCTGGTGAGTCTTTTAATGGCTGGCAAATTACACTAAAGCCAACAGCTTGCGTCTCTCCAGCAACCAAAGGATCCTGGTTGCCTAGGGTGGGGGGCGAAACAGAGACTGTAGGAGACAGTGTGTGCTTTACTTTTCTCCAGCTTTGTTGAGATATAATTGGCATAATAGTCTGTAAGTTTAAGGTGTGCCCTGCGAAGGATTGATGCATATATATTGCGAAATGTTTACCATAACAAGTTAGTTAACACCTACTTCCACCTCACATAATTAACATTTTGCTGTTGTTACGGTGTTTTTCTTAAATAGCCTGGCTGAGTTCCCTTTCCCTCGGTCCAAGTTGGGAACACTTACCAAGCATATTGCACCCCCCCTCACTCAGAGAGCCCTCTCCTGACCCGGGTCCCATATGCTTAACTCACAAATAAGACAAGAGCCCTGGCCAGTGTGGCTCAATTGGTTGAGCCTCATCCCATGCACTGAAAGGTCGCCGGTTCGATTTCTGGTCAGGGCACATGCCCATGTTGGGGGCTTGATCCCCAGTAGGGTGTGCAGGAAGCAGCCAATCAATGTTTTGCTCTTACATCTCTCTCTCTCTCTCTCTCTCTCTCTCTCTCTCTCTCTCTCTCTCTTTCTCTCTTTCTCTTTCTCTCTCTCCTCCTCCTTTTTCCCTGCTTCCCTCTCTCCCTCCCCCTCTCTCTAAAATCAATTTTTAAAGAATAGCAAATAAGGCAAGAGATAAGAGACAATTCTGGATTTAACTCACAGGGGATCCTTTGACCCTCACAGAGGGCTGTGTTGGAATAAGAGAAATCAGGTGGTAGGATGACTAGGAGGTAGTCATACACTCTTACAGCATTGAGTCTGTAACTGCAAAACATTGAAATGGTCACTGTATTCACTTCTTTTTCTCTTTTTTCTCTGCAGGGAAGGAGATTGGTGGGAAGCCCGCTCCTTGACAACTGGAGAGACAGGTTACATTCCCAGCAATTACGTGGCTCCAGTTGACTCTATCCAGGCAGAAGAGTATGTTTCGTTTTTTTCATTTCACTAACTCCTTGCTTTTAAAAGTTAGTTGGCACAATAAAATGCCATTAACATTGTGCAGGAGGGAGAAGAAATTCACTGGCGTGATTAAGGGTGAGATGATACAGTAATGCCATGTTTCCCAGGCCTAAGCCATTGTATTTTGCCCTATCTGTGGAATACCGGTGCTATTATTAACTTACTGTTTTTCTTTAAGCCTGCTCACTTTTTAAGACATTTCTTTTGAAAGGAAACATTGTGTCAGTAACCTAAATCAAAACTCAATTTTACTTGCCATAAATAGAGAATAACCATAAAAATGTGGTGAAATTCTAGCTAGAGCATATATTATTGCCAACCCAAGGTTCTAAGCCTACAGTCTACTGAAAAAAGAAAGGGAGAGGGAGAAAGAGTGGGAGGGAGGGAGTTGGCAAATAATTCTTACCAAATTGAGATTTTTGCTCTTCAATCTAATCAGAATATTAAAGGAGCACTAAGAAGACAGGCTTTCCATGCCACAGATGGAACTGTCTCACGTGGGCTGTGTCCCACAGCTCGAGAGATCCTGTGGTGATGCATTTCAAATCGTCCTTTCCTTTGACTTGGGATCTCTGTTTTTTCTTTGATAGTTAATAGTGACTAGCAGTTAGTTGGCCCAATGATCTCACTGCTAATAGTTTTGGAAGGTGGCCCATAGTCTGGGGGCATTCTAGAAGGAACCAGCACTGTTCCATCTCCGGACCCGTGGGGATTCGCAGGCACTTGCAGCCTGGAGGACCGTCTGTGGCTTGTGGGCGACCCCAATTTCTGAACTGAGGGAAAGGGAGCCAGGCTGTGGTCTCCCAAAAACAGGAACCTGGCCCCCTCCCTGACACGCTGGGGACCTGCCTCCTGCTCAGTGGAAGCCGTCTTGCATTAGGAGAAAAGTCAGCCACAGAGCCCAACCATTGACCCTGATATTTGATTTTTGCCCTGGATTTGTATACGTTTCAGAGAGCATTAGACTCCATGCCTCAGCCAGATCCCCAACTGGATCACACTCTTATATTTAATTCCTTTGTATTTCCTCTACGGAGACTGGTTTTGTTTCTCACTCTCAAATACTCAGTGGTTCTGAGCTCCTTTTTTCTCCTAGTGAGTGTGTCTCATCATCAGTGAATAATGGAATTTGTATTGAATTTTTATTTTAGGGCAGATTGGCAGACATCTTTGAGTTCTTTCAGCATAAAAGGTACCACCAAAATGTAGCTTTTTTTTTTTTAACTGGGAGCCTAACCCACTATATATTTAAGTTGTATTTATAATGGTCTATTTTTAAATATTTTGTTTTTAAAGAATAAAATAGCATTTTTTAAGTGCCTGTGGTTTTACATGTGCAATTAATTATCATTATCTATACTATTGTCTCAGTGAAATCCATTGTTCTAACAGTTCTCTTTTCACCACTGTTCGTATTTGCACTGCATTTTAATTGATACAGACCCACAAAGTCATTTCTCACAAATAATTGGTGTAATTCTCTTTATACCATCTAGTGTTAGGTTAGGATTGTTGCACAGTCTGGTGCCTTTAAAAGTCACTGAGGAGCTAGCATGCAGCGTGTCTTTTCTTATCTTCAGGGAAGCTCTTTCATTCACAGAAGAATTTGACAGTGAACATACAATAGCTATGTTCAAGTGTAATGAATTGAAATTTCATTTCTAAAGCTGGATCCTTTCACAGCTAAATATTCTAAAAATGGTTCCTTTACGCAGATTCAATGGGGTGCTCCTGAATTCTTGCTTGGGTTCTTGGAGCCCCTGCTGCTTGTTCAGCACTGAGCAAACTGAACCGTTAAATGATTGCCAGGCCGTGGTTAGGGCTAGAGAGTGCAAGGGGTGATAAAAGACAAATGACAAAGGTTGTGAGGTGCTTCATGTGATGCCTCCTAACGTGGCACAGGAGTGTCATCACAAAGAGAATATGAGACGTGTATGACATGGGGTCGTTTTCAAGGACACACTCATTGACTCTGCACAGTCACCTGCCCTGCAGCTGTGCCAGAGCACGCGTGCAACACGTCCCAATCCAGATGCTTGGCAAACGCCTTTTACTGATCGGCTTCCTCACACCTGCTGGACAGGAAGACAATGCAAACAGCTTCCCAGGGCAGACCTCATTGCAAATTGGGGCTAGTCTTGACCATTTTTCAGAGTTCCTATAGGTAGGCAGATACTGAAAATATTGTCTTTGTTCTTTATCCATTCTGGCTGACTGTTTTTTAAATGCCTGATTAATGACCTTTATGTACACTAAGACTGTGTTTTTGTTATTTCCTAGGGATTGTAATTATGCTCAGAAATCCATGGTCTTGTAGATGTGTGTGGGAAGGATTTCCTGCGGTTGCCATTTTAAACAAGGTCTTGGATTTCTCGTTTTGTGCAGGCAGGTGGCAGTTTTCACACAAATCAGTTCTTGTCATCTCCAGAGGGAAGGAAAATAACCCATAATTCAAATCTGATTTTTTTAAGAGTGAAAGAGATGAATTAAGGGTGGAATCAGGAATAGATTGAAAGGGAACTAGATGAGGCTAGGAAAAAAATAGATAGGGAAAGGCTAAGGATGAAATTGTGGGTTAGGAGGATCGGGGGGCGAAAGAGCTTGCGTGATTCCATTGTTTAAAATGATTCTTATCAAATGTTTCCTTTTCTTGATCTCATTTATAGGTGGTACTTTGGAAAACTTGGCCGAAAAGATGCTGAGCGACAGCTTTTGTCCTTTGGAAACCCACGAGGTACCTTTCTTATCCGCGAGAGTGAAACCACCAAAGGTAAGATAATAAGCCCAAGAAGTTCACTTGTCATTCTGATCTGTGGATCAGTCAGAGGGGATGAAAGGCTTATCTCTAAGGGACGGGTCTGTAAATGGCACAGACCCTCCCTGCCTTCTGAGGGAGGGAGTCCTATTTTCAGCTTTTCCTCCAGGCTCTGGAGCTACAGACAGACAGCTCCACAAAGACTACAGAGGCTCAGAACCAACACCTTCCTCTTGTAACAGGGGCTGGGCAGCTTCCCTCCTCCGGGCGCACAAGATCACAGAATTTTCACAGATCCTTTAGAATTATGAATTTCTGAAACTTAGTTCCTCAGGCGCCAAGCATGCAGGTTGTTTTTCCATTTCCTCTGTGGCTTTTTTCATAACTGAAGATTGCTCTTCCTCCAACTATTGGCGTTTTCATTATTTAACGTCTCATTAGAGCCCACAAGAGGAGCCCTGCCAAGGCAACGAGCAGAGGCCTCTAGCTTCATGGGCCAGACACAGGCTATCTGCTCCTGGGAAAGTACTGTGAAGCAGCCATGGGACGCTCACCCCTAGAGAAGCAGTCCCTACGCTTCCTTGCTACCCACCATCCCCTCCTCCATGGTGCTCCAGGGGCAAAAGAGCATGCACAGCCTGGAATGTCTGTGCTCCTCTCCATCTTGCCAGGGCAGGGGACGGGATGGGGGAGGAAGGGGTGTAGGGAAAAATCCAAATAGCCTTCATTCTCAAGGGTAAATCATTTTATTGCTAATATCTTCTGACATTTTCAGAAAAGAGGTGTTTTCTTCCTATGTTACAGAGTGGAAGTGTGTGTGTGTTGCGGGGGCAGTCTCTGCTTGATAATGATTAATCAGAATAGTCAAGTAAATGAGACCTAAATAACAAATGATACTCACAGTGATTGGAGCTGCTAATACTTTGCATATTTACCAGGTGCCTATTCACTTTCCATCCGTGATTGGGATGATATGAAAGGAGACCATGTCAAACATTATAAAATTCGCAAACTTGACAATGGTGGATACTACATTACCACCCGGGCCCAGTTTGAAACACTTCAACAGCTTGTACAGCATTACTCAGGTAACCTTAATTCTAACCAGTGACTGAACATTTGGATACTGGAGGGACTGGGTGGGCACAGAGCAGGAGAGGGGCAGGGAAGGGGGAACAGGTACAGCAAATACATGCAGTCGCTAGTCAAATACAGTTGACCCTTGATCAACAAGGTTTGAACTGCACAGGTCCACTTCTATGGGAATTTTTTCAGTAAATACATGCAGTACTGTAAATGCATTTTCTCTTCCTTGTGATTTTCTTAATAACATTTTCTTTTCTCTAGCTGACTTTATTATAAGATTACATAAATCATGTAACACAAAATAAGCACTAGTCAACCGTTTATATGTTCAGTAAGGCTTCTAGTCAACAGTAGACTATTAGTAGTCGAGCTTTTGGGGAGTCAAAAGTTATATGTGCATTTTCAACAGCATGGTGGTCGGAGTCCCCAACCCCCATGTTGTTCAAGGGCCAATGGTAGTTTTCTTTGCTAGCCCCTCACAGTGGCTAAATAGGATCTACTGATGTTTTTCTACCGTAATTATAAGTTCCATCAAAAGATTCTATAACATTTTAGTTTCCCAAGTGGAAAGCCATAGGTTAAACTTAAGAAGTTGTTATCTGTCCTATTCCCCTGCAGAAAAGAATTCAGAGGCTGTGAGAGGGTGAAGGAGCAATCTCTAGGGGGAACATACATGGGCCTCCTACAGGGGGTGTGTGTCTCTACCATCACCTTACACTCAACTCTGTTGCAGGAATGACTGTTCGTACATTTTCTCATGACTAGATGAGTTTTCTGGCCCATTTATCATGCTCTCCTTCCCCACCAATACTTCTGTTCCCTAACTGGACTTAGACTTATGTGACCCACAGGTCAGTTACAGCTGCTGTGTTAAACTTTTAAGCAGATCAATCTCCATCCTAACACCCAGGTGTCACCAGTAGCCTGCTGTTCCTAGAAATGTACACGTAGATGTTTAGGTGTGCGATTTGTGCATTTTATTAAAGAGTGTGGTCTTATGTGCCAGTGTTAAAATGATAGCTTTCTTTCCTAGATTAGCAAGTATATTCCACTATATAAAACATGCACACAGGCGGATATAGATACACATGTGCAGATATAGATCTATGTCCCAGTAAGCCCAGCAGTTTTTTGTGTGGCTATATGTAATTTTAAGTTGTTCTTCAGGATAATGCCACTACCCCAAAAGAGTACATGCCTTGATTTCAACTATTGCTGTGTGTACATTCATTAAAAAGTATATGTGCATGTGTGTGATTTTTTTAACAACCAACAAAAAGTAGTCTTTTGAAGATGGCAATAAGTAATGTCTATCTATTGATCTTAGGCACTAATGAACAAGTGAAAAAATTAGCAACACGGTGTATTTATTGATTATGGCATTGGGGAACTTTGATTTATGTAAATTCTAATGAAATATTTGGGAGAAATGGAGCAGAATATCTCCCTGAGCTTAAATGATATTCTCAGAATGCCTGCACGTTGTAAGGGTTTTTCAAATACCAAAATATATTGCATTGCAGCCAAACATCAGCAGGATCCCCAGAGTTTGAATCATTTGAAAATATTGTATCGGAAAAGGCACCTTAATAACATCATAAAGCTGGAAGGAGAGAAGGGATGGAAAGAGCAACAGACATTTTTTTAATCTCAAAAAAATTTGTTTTTATATAGACTTTTCCTCTTCCCTCATTTCTCTCACACAATAAAGTGCCTTCAAAATATGGACACATAAATAATTTCCTACCTAAACATCTTGGAACCTAATTCTATCAAAAAGAAAGGAATAAAAAAAGTCACTGGTTCCTGAAGAAAAGGCAGCAATACTACATTTGATTTCCCCGGATCTGAGGGACTTCCAGTCGGGGGTTGGGGCTCTGTCCGCCTCACAGCCAGGCTCTGTGTAGCTTCTGCCACTGCCCTCATTCCTGTCTTTGGCTCCCTTTTCTCACCTGATTGGTGTGAACTTGGCATTTAGGCAATTTCCCCTTACCGCTGCTAGATAATCTTTGAAGAGAGAGAAAAAACTTCCAAATCACCTCACAGTGATAACTACTTCTTTCCTTTCTCTTTTTCATGGATAATAGAGTTCTTCACATCCTTTTATTTCTATAGATTTTAGTTTTTGTTCTTTCTGCTTTCAAACCAGTCTCCTAAATTATACACTGGAGATTGTTATAAACATTTTTAATAGGAAATACCAAGGAAGCAGGATGGAGTCAGTTAAAATGCCAGAGAAATCATTAGAGAAATGTGGCCAGTTTTGCCCCTGCCAGGTATCATCTTCATTCTTACTAGACTATAAATCTGATGTTGTATAGAAGGATCCTGTTCTGACGTTACCATTTTAAATATAGTTCAAAAACCCTTAATTTTGGCATGGGGAGGACAATCATGTTGACATTCTATAGTCCACCCTACCCTTGGAAATCAATGGAGGTGTTTGCAGGGTTGCAGAAGGCATGTCATTAGCACATTGGGCTGAAATGTTTTTCTTACTTCGTGAGTATAGAAACCAAAACAGTCTAATCTATGTATATGAATAGACCATATTATACCTAGGGATATGGAATAGTGCAAACTTCAGATGTCCTCTATTCTACCTTCAATAGACATGTTTCAGTGTGTGGTGTCTGATCTTCCAAGATGTGTGTAGCTCTCTGCCAGTGTGTACTGTTCGGAGTGATGCTGTGCGCTGGCTGAGTGTGTGCACCTGCAAGTGTTGTGTTTCACGTGTTCTGCTTTTCTCTCCCTCTCTTGCTGCTGTCCCCGCTCCGTCAGAGAGAGCTGCAGGTCTCTGCTGCCGCCTGGTAGTTCCCTGTCACAAAGGGATGCCAAGGCTTACCGATCTGTCTGTCAAAACCAAAGATGTCTGGGAAATCCCTCGAGAATCCCTGCAGTTGATCAAGAGACTGGGAAATGGGCAGTTTGGGGAAGTATGGATGGGTATGCTAAGCCTCAATTACTTTATTACTAGCATCCTCGTTTGGGAAGTCTCAAACATCAAAGATGGAAGGTGAAAGTAAAGACTATGAGCAGAAGGAAAGTTTGAATTACTAATAGTGGGGAATAATGATTTTGATTTTGGAATTCCGGAACTTCTAGAAAAAAAATATGTAAGTGGTCAAGATTGGCAAATGGCTCAAATGATACTATTATATGTGTTTCAATTCATAAGCCAGTAAATGGTACAAGGAATGATCAGACCTGCACCATATGCATTGCTCTTCATTTCCAACTGCAGATGTTTGTCCAGTGAGCTCAGTATTGCCCTCAAGGGCAAGTCACCTTCCATCTTTCCTAGTGCATGCATGATTATGGATTATAAGGACTGTGTTTTCTTTATTAATCCTCTTTCCTGTAGAGAAAGCTGATGGGTTGTGTTTTAACTTAACTGTGATTGCATCGAGTTGTACCCCACAAACTTCTGGATTGGCTAAAGATGCGTGGGAAGTTGCACGTGATTCGTTGTATCTGGAGAAGAAGCTGGGTCAGGGGTGTTTCGCTGAAGTGTGGCTTGGTAAGGCAGAGGGCACCTTTTGTTTTGGCTCCATCTCAAAGCCAATTAAACGGATGGTTTTGAACACAACACATTAACAGCCATTGGGACCAAGACACTTAACCTGGATAGCTGGTACAGGCCACCCAGATTTTCAGAATATGGCAGTACCTTCCTGTTCTCTTCTGTCCTACTTCACGTGGTTAATTAAGGCACGCACAGTACAGGAAACCAATGCAATAGGACTCTGGGGTTTCTTCTTCCTAAGACCTGGGAAGGTAAGATACTATAGCTGGGCTACTGTAGGAGGAGACCCTGGGCTTTTTTGCTCAATCTTTACTAGCTGATTAACCATGGGCAAAGGGCTTGTTTAACCTCTTTGAGTCTCAGTTTCCTCATCTGTAAAACTGGAATGATACCTACTTCATAGAACTAGGAGGATTACAAAGGATAATATGTCTATTAAAGAGTCCCTTGCATAGAGTAGGTGCTCAGTAGATACAGGCAGTTCTCTTAATCTGCTTGTCATCTGATTGGTAAGGCCTTCTGCACTGGGCCTTCCCCATATAACTCCCTCTGAGGCAATTGCAGCTTTGCTTAGACAATCCATGGGCTTAGGCCCCACCCAAAAAATATTGCCAGTAAGGCAATATTAGTATTTATGGAATCCTCCTTCTTCCTTTCTTAGATTCAATGAAAAATAATTGTTATGTGTGGCTGTAGGTATTTAGGTGTAGTCTGCACTAAAAGATTGAACATGGTTAAAGCTCTTGGAACAGAGCCTGGCAATGAGGAAGTACTGCATAGATCCAGAGTTAGAGGTAGAAATAGAGAGAGATAAAAATAGAGAGACAGGTAGATACTCAGTCAGACACATATGTATATATGTGTAAGCTAGTTTAATAAGAATTATCACTGTTATTGTTTTTCAGAGTCCACATTGTGATGTCCAATACTTTAGCTCAAGTATCGTAAAATATGTTTATATTACCTTCTCCTCCATCTGCCCAATTTATAATTAAAATTATGGGTCCTAAGAATTTTTATCCAGTCACTAATACAATCAGGAATAATTGAACACTATACAAAATTTATTTACAAACATTTTAATTATAAACTTTAAATCATTACACATATTACTAAGATTTTGCTTCCCACTGAACATAAAACATCATTTTTTGGTAGTTCAGGATCAGGATGGAATGCCAATGTAAGTAACTGGGTTGTTATTAGACAAAGGTTTCTATTTAAAATTTTGGGGTACTAACACTCAAATAGCAAAGACCACTTACAAGTTGTCAAAGTTCCCATTTATGTTTAGTGGTCAGATATTTTGTAAGGTTTGATGAATATTCCTTTAAGCCACTTATTCTTTAATGATTCATATTTTATAGGTTGCATTTTAAAGTATATGAACCGTGTTTTTAAAAAGGTAACAAAAGTTGCCTCAATTTACAGAATTTGTTAATTCTAAATTCAATTATATTAAATATAAAATTTAATCTTAATTTAATCCAGCATTTTCCAAATAGAAAATAATATAATCTAATGTAGAAGATCTCCCCCCTTATAAATAGTTTTAATTCAAAGTCATAGGACTAATAATGGAATACCCATACAACCTACTTTTTTAAAAATTTGGGAGCTGAAAGAAATTCAAAAGACAATCCAGTTCTATTTCAGTATTTTGCAGATGAGGTAACCGATGATCATAAACCAGGCATGCCTCTGGACCTACTAGATTCTTTTAACATGTAAAGTTTAAATATTTCTGTTCCCTCTTAGCTGTTGTCTAATTTTTCCAGTCTAGCTGATAGAAGTCATTGCTCTCTTGTGGCTGACCATCAGTAAGCCTCAGGAATTTTCCTTACCTGGTTTAAGTATGGGCAAGAAGTCTGTGAGCTTGCCTCTGCTTATCAGCATAATTGCGTTCTACTTATAGATCACCTGTTCAAGGACTCAGTCAAGTAGCTCATGCATTGCAGACAAGTGAAAGTCTAGTGGTAATTTCCAGACATCCTCAGCATGTTGCCATCTTTTTAAAATGGTATACCCCATAAAACAGAACTTAATCTCATTTCTTCCATGCTCACTGTACTGCCTATTGGATGGATATTGGATGGCCAGGCTTGTTCTACCCATGGGCTTTTATTCTTGTAAAGAAGTGTCCAGAGCTTTTGGTATACATTTGTAATCACATGGCTGAACCAGAAAAGGAACGTGAAATATATCAAAATAAGAAAATAGTTCAATTATAAACCATAATATAGCCAGAAGTAAATACATATTTTCTATTGAAAATCCTTGACTGAGTCCTTACATTTTATTGTCTTTGTTTGACAAAAACTATATTAAATTTTTAACTTAAAATCTAACCTTATATAAATAGCTATTAATTTAAAAACTTTTTTTCCATCAAAAGAGGACCTTTTGTTTGACTTAATATTGTGGGATGTCTGCAGGTACCTGGAATGGAAACACAAAAGTAGCCATAAAGACTCTGAAACCAGGCACAATGTCCCCTGAATCTTTCCTCGAGGAAGCGCAGATCATGAAGAAGCTAAAGCACGACAAGCTGGTCCAGCTGTACGCTGTGGTGTCCGAGGAGCCCATCTACATTGTCACCGAGTACATGAATAAAGGTTGGGCAAGGCCTCTCCAGGCTTCACCTCACAATGACCTACAGGGCTTGTTTCGGAGAGAGGAGCGGAGTTGCCTGCTTGCTTCTTTCCCTGGTTTCTGCATGAGTCAAGCATGCCCATCAGGAAGTGCAAATTGTGTGCTCATTAGTGAAAACATTTTAAACAGGCCATGACCTCCAGATTGCCCCCCAGGTCCTTGTGATACCGGTACCTTTTGCATGCTACACATGCAGAGTTCTAGCTCCTCTCCTTAATGAACGTGTCCATTTCTAATGTTGGTGATACAGAGGGCTGTGACAGTTTGCTATTATTTTGAATGCCATCGCTTGTATTAAATTTCCGTTTTGCAGGGCTGAGCAGTTAATATCAGGCACTGGTCTTGGGGCTAAGTTGAGTCTCCATTTTTTTAACATTTTGTTTTTCAGCTCTCTTCTTATAATCAGATGAAGAAAGACATGTTTTTAAAGAACACATTTTATTCTCATTCTCTCTGTGTGTGGCTCTGTCTTCTAATCAAAGCAGTATTTTTGGGGATAAAGCCAAAGATCACTTTGTTTTGGAATAATAGATGAACCAAACAAAAAATGTCCTTAAAAGGCAATGCATTGTACATCAGAGGATACCAGTGTAGTTTTTCCTTTCCATGTTCTCTTAAAATATATTAGGAATTTTTTTCCTGGCAGATTGTCCTTTGTATCCAGAGTTATTTGGTAAATAACTTTGGGATTCAAGCATGAAAAAAATCACCATGACCCTGTTGAGCCTCCAGCCTCTGCATGTGACTGTCCCAGCCCTGGTGTCAGTTCTGAGCTACTCGGGCTGCGCTGTCACAGCAGCACTGAAGCTCAGCTATCTATATACAGGGCTCCTTGAGGCCCGGCTGGCCAGGATCTAATGAGGAGCTATTTGCCCCACCCTATATTCCTTAGATATTCTTTTCTTTCAGGTATTTTTTTTCTTGATTTAAAATCTGTAAATAAGCTAGGCCAGCCGTTCTCAAACTTGACTATGTGTCAGAATCACCTAGAGGACTTCTTAAAATACAGGTTTCTGGGCCTAAGCTCCAGAGTTCTGATTCAGTAGATCTGGGGTGGAGCCTGAGCGTATGAACCTTTCTTTTGCACCGATGGCATTATTCAGTTCAGTTACCTCCTTACTTCTAATAAGAAAGCCAAATATAGCCCTTTGTTGGACATTTTTATCTTTCAAAGTAAATTGAAATGGTTTCATGTTTTCTTCATAGGAAGTTTACTTGACTTCTTAAAAGATGGAGAAGGAAGAGCTCTGAAATTACCAAATTTGGTGGACATGGCAGCACAGGTAGGCCCCATGGTACCTTGATTCCTGCCTTAGATATTATGATGTGTAAATATATCAGCCAAGGTGTAACATGTTCCATTCTCTCAACTTCCACAGGTTGCTGCAGGAATGGCTTACATCGAACGCATGAATTACATCCACAGAGATCTGCGATCAGCAAACATTCTAGTGGGGAATGGACTAATATGCAAGATCGCCGACTTTGGATTGGCCAGATTGATCGAGGACAATGAGTACACAGCCAGACAAGGTAGGCACTTGGATGATGATGGCTCATGACCACATCGTTGAAAACAGCCCTTCCTCCCTCCTTCCCTTTCCTTCCTTCAGAAAATATTTGAAATGTCATTCTTCAGATAGGTTTTTTTTCTTTTTTATCTGGCAGGAATTTGACAACTCAGCTGGTGGGAGGCTGTAGTGGGTTTCAATAGATGGATGAGATGTTCCTTTTTGATGAGTGAGTGTTCACTGGTGTGGTCCTCCGGTTTGTGGCACCCTCACAGTGCTTTGCTTCTGAAGGAGGGTTGTGGAAGGCCAGTGGATCAGTCAGGTAACAGCTCGTCATTCCACCAGAGTCTCGGCAAAAAGCAGAAGGCATGCTCGTTGGATAATGTAATAAAGGAGTTATTTATAAAGACATGGGCAGGGTTTCAGAAAACCAGCAGAGCATGGTGCCTTCCACGGTATATTCCAAGGCTTGTATTAGCAGTGGACCTGAGGCCTGAAGGCAAAGGAGTATGGGGGGCAGCGGGCACCAGAACTACGAACGCAGCTGTGCTGAAAAGCCACCTTAGAGAGAGGCAGCAGGGTGGGTCTGGAGGATTCGTACCCAGGCTCACTCTTCAGCCTCCTCCAGACCTCCTGCCAAACCCAACAAGAAGCTAGGGGTCAAAGGCGCCCATTGATGAGTTCAGATGGGTCCAGAGCAAGAACAGTAAAAGGGGATTTAGAGGGAAAATAGAAGATAACATGTAGTCACTTGAAAATAACTTCCCTTAATTACCTCCTCCTACCCACCCCCTCCAAAGATTTGTAGAATTGGCCTCTAGAAAAAATACATCCCAACCAGCTGCCACTCTGGTGGGCAGCTTGTCAGGTGCTTTTAGAGCACCAGGAAGGAAATGCCCACGGTTATTTTCTGTCCTCAGACATCTTCACGTAGCGGTCAACAGGTAAACATGCAGAGTTAAAAGGGCTGTTGGCAATTAAATGTAGGCTCCTCGTGTGGAATATAATGCCTATGTCTGAAGAAAGAGGTAACCTTCATTGTTGTTGTTTTAACCAAAGCTGGTTATTCTGAGCAAGGCTGAGTGGTGACTGGAATATATTACAGGGCGGTGCTTTCTGCTGGATTTCATAAAGGCCACCTCCAGAATTCTTATTCTTCTTTATTTCTCAATTCTTTCATTTCTTGCCAATTCTTCCCTGCTTTTATCATTCTCGGCAGTCTCCAGTGATGAGGAAAAATGTTAAACTCAAATCCTGGCTCGTACAGACACTGTCCAAATGCAAAATTATGTGTTGGTCAGACAGCTTGGCTATTTGAATTTCCCCAACATGTGGCAGTTCTTGTCCTGGAGCCAAATGCCCACACAGCAAGCATGCCCACACATTATACACACACCAGTGCGGGGCCAGATGGCATGCGTATCTCTAATCAAAGGCACACGGACAGCTTTGGTTGGCAATGGCAGTCCTCAGAAAATGTGGACGTGATTTTGAGTCAAGGTGAGCTGAGAGGGTCTGAAGTACCACTGGGTCTGAAACCTGGCCCTAAATGAAAGCCTTTACCCAGAGGCAAACCTGTCAGATCTCAGCTCACAGACCTGGAAGGAGAGGAGAACAGAGCAGAGCAGGCGAAGGTTGTGAGGCATGAATATCTGATTTAGGAAGTGGTGAGAGAGAGTCAGTCTTGTTGTTTGGTCCTGTAAGCATCCTTCATGTTGCTGGAGGGATTGGTTCAGGACTTGTTTCTCCCCTTCTCCTGGACTTTGGACTTTATAGAATTTGTGGTCCTGAACCATCCATAAATGAGAGGGTTACAGGGCCAGAAGCCCGAGGATGCTGGCAGGAGTGCTGCTGGCAGGGCCTGGCTATTTAGCACCTGGAATGAGACCCCTCTGGCGGTGGCCCTGGGTGATGAGCGCCCGTGGGGAAGGCCTGTGAGGAGCCCTCACTGGTTACTGTCACACACGCGGCTGCTGTGGAACAGGCCCAGCAGCCAACCCAGCCCTGGCCTTCAAGTCCAGTCTTCTTCGGTGAGCTGTCTTGATTGCTTTCTGTGGCCCCTCACTTCCACCATGACCTTTCAAAGGATTGGCCTCAAACCCTTTGTGTACTATGTTTTCTTCACTTAATCTCCACAAAGAGTATTCACTCTTCCTTCTTAAAATTCTTTTTTTCCCATCACCATATATCCCCTCTGTGTCCTCTCCCACCTCCACCCATCCCCCTTCACCCCAGCAATCATCACACTGTTGTCCATGTCCATGAGTTATCTATCTTTTGTTTTTCTCAATTTCTTCATCCCCCACACTCACCAGAGCTTTCTGCCTGCTCTTTATCTATGAGTCTGTCTCTATTTTGCTTGGTAGTTCAGTTTGTTCATTAAATTTTTGTTCATTAAATTCCACATGTGAGTGAAATCATATAGTACTTGTTTTTCTCTGGCCTATTTTGCTTAGCATAATGTTCTCCAGATCTATCCATGCTGTTGTAAAGGATAAAAGTTTCTTCCTTTTTACAGCAGAGTAGAATTCCAATATGTAAATGTGCCACAACTTTTTTTATCCACTTGTCTACTGATGGACACTTGGGCTGCCTCCAAATTGTGGCTATTGTAAATAATGCTGCAATGAACATCGGGGTGAATATATTCTTTCTAATTAGTGTTTCAGGTTCCATCAAATAAATTCCCAGAAGTGGAATCACTGGGTCTTCCCTTTCACAAAATATCTTTAGATCCATGCCAAAGACTAGAGAGAGATAAGTAAGACGTAAATGAACTGGAAAACTAAACTGGGGTGGGGGGACCACAAAGTCTGTGAGGCCCCAGGATTTTCAAGGAGAATAAAAGAAATGCTGCCCTACAGCAGAGGGAGTGGAAGGAGCAGGGGCATTTATGGAATATACTTACAAAAGCCAGGCCTGAGCGGGAGAATGTGAGCAGTGGGGAGGAAGCAATAGAGAAAGCCCAGAGGGGTTAAGTAACTCATATAAAGCCCCACAGCTAGTAAAAGGGCAGAGGCAGGATTTGAATCTATGTATGGCTGGCCCTACTGCCTCTGCCCTCTTAAGCTATATTGACTGCCTCTGATCCAGACTGATTAAAAGAACAGAAAATTAAAAATTGAGATTAATCATAAGTCCCTTTATCTCTTTTATTTTATGGGAAAGTTTGGTGGTGTGTGTGTGTGTGTGTGTGTGTGTGTGTGTGTGTGTGTGTGTATTGGAAAGACCTTCCTTTTCCGGCTCTGGGACAACTCAGCTGTTTATAGAGTTCCTCCTCCCAAGGGTCTGCCTGCCCTGGCCTCTGTGCAAGGCAGAGGGCCTGGTGTGCATCTGTGGTGTGCTCTGCAGATGGCATGCGTGCTGCGTGCTGAAGTGTTTGCTGGGAGGCAGCAGCTCCTCCACACAGCTGGCCCGTGTGCCTGGTAATGTTTGCAAGTTGGGTTTTATGATCCCACAGGCCGCAGCCAGGCAGCATCTTGATTATGGGACTGTGGGCAGTGTTCAAAGCATGTGCTGGACACAGGTATTTAGGGCTGGGAGTGACAGTTATTTTTCAGCACAGTTGTGACCTTCCCATTGAAGGGCACACCGAAATGCCTGTCCTCCCCCTGGATGGATGTGATGGCATTTCCCAGGGCACAAGCAGCACTGGAACGTGGACCTGTGTTAAATAGCCCTTCCTGCGTTCCTTCCCTCCCACCACCCCCACCCCACTGGACTGCCCGGAAGCCCCATATGAAGAGGAAGGTCAAGACTAGGCCAGAATCTGTGAGGATGATGCTCTGCCAACAGCATTCTAGAGGCAACTAGACATTACGTGGTGCTGCTCGTTCTGTTACCTGTCCATTTCCTCAGCTGCAGCAGATACATCTGTAGATCTCTTTAGTCATAAACTCTGTGCTAAACTCTGACCACTCAGGGCCCCTGAGTAATGCCAGCACTCATTATTTGAGGGCCTTGTGTGTAAAAGGGACTTTGCTAGGAGCTGCTAATATTATGAAGCCTAAGACTGCACAGGGGCAGGGAGCAGGCATGGGGAGGGACACTGAAGTTGGGTAGAACCAGGTGTGAAACCCACTCTGTCCTCTGGGGTCTCAGACAAGCTAGTTAACTTTGCCACAGCTCAGTTTGCTTATTTGTGGAAATATATTTTACCTGCTTTGTGTTTTAATTTTTGCAAATATTAAGTAAAACAATAAATGTAAAGTATTAGCATAGTGCCCAGTGCATAGCAGATGATAGATAAAAAATACTCTTGTTATGTTCCATATAGGACTAAGCTTTTGAATAATAAGCAAATGCAAGAATGGATTGTAGGCACAATGGAAAGGCTGAAACAGGAAAGGGAGAGAAGAATCAAACATAATTCCCAAATAGTCTGATGCAAGTAATCATGAGAATGGAGTTGCCCGTAACAGAAATGAGTGGTCTTATTTTCAGAGAAAGAGGGTGAGTTTGGGATTTATTGAGCTTGAGGTGGTTATGGTACTACATCCATTGAGGTGTTGAAGCCCAGAGAGGTCAGTCAGGGTGCCCACTGCCACAGGTCCTCACCTTCCAGCCCTCCCATATCACTATGCCTCAGCTGACCATGGCCTCTCACCCCCATGCTACCTACACCCTCCCTAGGGTCTGATCCCAGCCACCTCCCCACCCCAGCACTGCACCTTCATCCTAGCCTCATTCCACAGCTGACCCCCATCATGCCCGTGCCAGGGCGCCGCAGAGACCAGCCGTCCGCCCTTTGGTCCTCACACTTGCAACCACACCTGTCTCCTGCAACCACCAGCATGGGCAGCTGTCACCCAGCTGCACTTCCAAGACTCACAGCCCCTCCAGCCATCCGACAGACAGGAAGCAGCAGGAGAATTCTTGACAGACTCCTGTTTTTTTCTTCATAAGCTTTCAGGAAACTCGGTGCTGACAGACATCAATTTAAACCTAACAAGTTCAGGTACACCTGGCTTATGTATAAGAATGCTTTCTTTTCACCCTGGCCAGTGTGGGTCAGTGATTAAA